TGTGTGTGTGTGTGTGTGTGTGTGTGTGTGTGCTAATCCAGGGGTGTGTATGTGATTTGTGCAAACGTTTATGAACCTTTCTGATTTAATTCGCTTAGCGATAAAAAACATTAAAATATTTGAAATGCGGGGTAGGGTTTTAAACGACTATTTTACTACACTGTTAAGCAGCAATATAACATTAACAAAATATAAAGCCTTATGAAAAGTGAATACAGCTTTAAAATTTACATTCCTCTTTCCATAGTCCATCACTAAAGCACTTCGATTCCCAGTAGTGAAGAGTGTAAAGCCCCACTAAGAGCGAAAATTCACTCATGAAGACTTTAAAAAAATCAAAAGCATATTATTATGTGAGGCAGCGTGGTGGAATGAGGCTCTCGTCAAAATAATCAAAACGAAAAAACTTGCATTTTTCCGTAGTTTGGTGAATTTTTCTCGAATTTTTGCATTTCCGCTCCACACGTTTCATGCCCATTAAAGAACTCATTTCTGTGTGAATTTTTCTGAAAAAAAACGTTGATTAAAGGCACAAAAATGTAAATTTTCAGTGACAACGGACTCTTAAGCTAATGAAATAACAAATCTTTGGCGGCCATGATCTCACTAAAGTTACTTCTGAAAACAGGTGACCCCCTCCTCCTTCTTTCGCAAATATCTCGACTTGTATTCAAGATAAATGGATATTTTTTCATCCAAATAAAGACAAGTGAACAAGCGTTAAGGTGATACCAGTAACTCTTCTTGCCCAAAAATTGACGAGAGCCTGATTCCACCACGCTGCCTCACATGTGATATCTTCTGAGCTGTATCGTCTCTACTTTCTTTCATTCCTTCTTTCTTCGAGTGCCCAGCAGTAAGTCCTGACCCCAAAAATATGACAGGCAAGTGTCAGAGACACGGGGTTTTAATGGGTGGTTACTGGGGTGTGACTGTACACCCCTAAATTTAAGAAAAACAGGACGCTCCTCAAATACGACCATCAATGGCATATTTGTGAAATTGTTCTGCATTGTTGTAAAATCGTGTCTTTGGTATTC